ACTTCGGGACATAAATTTGTTCAGGATTCTGCCAGCTGTTGTATCCCTTCTACTCATTAATCATCCATTTTCGCTGCACAACTCGGTACCTCCTGCTGCTATACCGCCATCTTGCCCTGTGAATTCAATATTTTCACAAATGCCTAAAACTAAACACAGAAATTCAAGAATCAAGAAAAAAAGACAACTTCACTTGCCCTCCCCAAGGAATGCAACAACACATCAAAATCAGAATGTGAAGATTAAGAGACTGAGGAAGTACCTGAAGTGTAATTCAAAAGATTAATTGTAGGATTACTCAGAAGGAAATCCACAAATTAAAGAAATCCTTACATGATGTGAATGAGAAATTATCCCCTGAAATGAAATTTTCAAGAGAAAATCAAAATGAAATATTAGAAATGAAGAATTCAACCTGTCAAACAGAATATATTGGAAAGCCTTAACAACATATTTGGTGAGTCAAAAGAAAGACCATCGAAGCTGGAAGAGAAATCTTTATAAAGTTTTTTGTCAGAACCAAAAAAAGGAGAGGAAATTATAAAAATTATAAATGTTGGAAATTTATGTATACTATCAAATGACCCAACAAATGGGTCTGAGAGTTCCTGAAGGTGTGGAAAGATAGAGCCGATGAGAAGGCCTATTCAGTGAAATAATTACAGACAACTTCTTCAATTTGGAAGAAAGAAAGGGTTGTCTAAGTACATGAGGCACATAAAACTCCTATAGGACATGACCAGAAAGGCTCTTCATCAACACACTGTAGTCAAACTTTCAGCACTAAAACATAGAGAAAGGTTCCAAAATGTACACAAGAGAAAAGCCAGATTACTTTCAGAGGCTTATCCAATTAGAATCGTTGCTGATTTCTCGAACAAAACTCAACAGGCTAGGAGAGAATGGAGAGACCACAGCCCAATATTAAGAGAAAAGCTTTCAACCAGAAGACTGTACCCTGCAAAGCACTCACTTATGAATGAAAATTAAGCAAACACCTTCCATAATAAAAGAAAGAATTTGTCACCACTTGTCCAGCCTTACTAAGATGTTTAAGGATGTCCTACGCACAGAAACACAGAAACATAGTCATCACTATGAAAGAAGGTGAAGGCAGAAAATCTCACAGTAAAAGTACAAAGGAAACCCAAAGCAAACAGAAGGAATCTTTACAGAAAAACGGCAGGGCCAAGTCATGACTTATCGATAGTAACCTTGAATGTAAATGGCCTAAACTCTAATTAAAAGATAAAGGCTGGCTAAATGGATTAAAGATAAGACTCATTATTTAATGCCTTCAAGAAACATCCCTCACCAACAAAGATAGACCCAGACTGAAAGTAAGGATGAAAAAAGATATTGCACGGTAACAGAAGACAGAAACAACCATGTGCAGCCATCCTAATATCAGACAACATAGACATTAACATAAAAACTGTTAAAAGAGACAAAGCAGGACACTACGTAATGATTAAGAGATCAATTCAACAGGAATATGCAACTATCATAAAAGTACATGCACCCAATTCCAGGGTGCCAGGCTGCTTCAAATAAATATCAATAGATCTAAAGGGAGACAGAGACTCCAATACACTAGTAATGGGGGTCTTCAACATCCCACCTTTATCAATGGACAGATCAACTAGACAGAAATTCAACAAAGAAACAATAGATGGGCCAAATGGACCTAATTAATATCTATAGAACCTTTCATCCCACAGTAGCAGAATACACACTTTTTTTAAAACTTTTATTTAATGAATATAAATTTCCAAAGTATAGTTTATGGACTACAATGGCTTTTCCCCCCATAACTTCCCTCCCACCTGCAACCCTTCCCTCTCCTGCTCCCTCTCGCCTTCCATTCACATCAAGATTCATTTTCAATTATCTTTATATACAGAAGATCAATTTAGCATATATTAAGAAAAGCTTTCAAGGCCGGTGCCGCAGCTCACTAGGCTAATCCTCTGCCTAGCGGCACCGGCACACCGGGTTCTAGTCCCGGTCGGGGCGCCGGATTCTGTCCCGGTTGCCCCTCTTCCAGGCCAGCTCTCTGCTGTGGCCAGGGAGTGCAGTGGAGGATGGCCCAGGTGCTTGGGCCCTGCACCCCATGGGAGACCAGGAAAAGCACATGGCTCCTGGCTCCTGCCATCGGATCAGCGTGGTGCGCCGGCCGCAGCGCGCTGGCCACGGCGGCCATTGGAGGGTGAACCAACGGCAAAAGGAAGACCTTTCTCTCTGTCTCTCTCTCACTATCCACTCTGCCTGTCAAAAAAAAAAAAAAAAAGAAAAGCTTTCAACAGTTTGCACCCACACAGAAAACACGAAGTGTAAAATACTGTTTGAGTACTAGTTACAACATTAAAACACAATGTACAGCACATTAAGGGCAGAGATCCTACATGAGGAGTAAGTGCACAGTGACTCCTGTTGTTGACTTTACAAATTGACACTCTTGTTTATGGCGTCAGTAATCACCCTAGGCTCTTGTCATGAGTTGCCAAGGATATGGAGGCCTTTTGAGTTCACCGACTCTGATCATATTTTAGACAAGGTCATAGTCAAAGTGGAAGTTCTCTCCTCCCTTCAGAGAAAGGTACCTCCTTCTTGAATGACCTGTTCTTTCCACTGGGATCTCACTCACAGAGGTCTTTCACTTAGGTCATTTTTTTTGCCACAGTGAATACACATTCTTTTCATTAGTGCATGGGACTTTTTCTAGGATAGGCCATATACTAGGCCATGAAGCAAGTCTCAGCATATTCAAAATAAATGAAATCATAGCATGCATCTCCTTGGACCACAATGGAACTGAATCTGAAAATTAAGAACTCAAGAAACTCTAGAACACATGCAAATACATGACTGAACAACATCCTCCTGAATGATCAGTGGGTCATAGAAGAAATTAAAAGAGAATTCAAAAAATTTTGGAAAAATATGAAGAAGACAATGCAACATATCAAAATTTATGGGATACAGAAAAGAAGAGTTAAGAGGGAATTATGTAACAATTAGTGCCTGTATTAATAAATTGGAAAATAACTAAGCAATCAATGTATCTCAAGGACCCAGAAAAATGACAAATCAAATTTAATGTTGGTAGCAGGAATGAAATAATTAAAATTAGATAAGAAACAAACAAAACTGAAACAAAAAAATCACAAATGATCAGTGAAATGAAAATTCTTTTGTTGGAAAAATAAACAAAATTGAAACACCATTAGCCTGAATAAACAACAAAAAAAGTAAACCAAGGAGAAAACCCAAATCATTAGAATCAGAGATGAAAAAGGAAATGTAACAAAAATAGCACAGAAATAAAAAGAATCACCAGGAATTGCTACAACGAGCGAAGAAATGGATATAAACCTGGACACATACAATCTACTAAAAGTGAGGCAGCAAGACACAAAAATCTAAACAGATCAATAACCAAGATGGGAATTCAATCAGTAATAAAGACTATCAACTGGGGGAGCAATCCGGACTAGACTAAGTTACTCGAATTAAGACTTATTCTATGCATCTGCTCTCCCACAATATGGCGCTGGGAGAGAAGTAAACAGCTTCCGCACAGCTGCCTCCAGTTCAACTAATAAACTGTAGGACTTGCTCCTGATTGGAGAGCAGCGTACTCGGCGTGGGCAGCCGAGTTGGGATTGGCGGAGGAGGACTATAAAGGAGGAGAGAGACGGCATGCACCAGGAACATCTATGGGGAACATCTAGCTGAAGGAACACCCGTGCAGCCCCCGAGAGACCCGGCCGGCGGTGTGCCGCTCCCCTGCGGAAGTGGGGAATGTGGCCAGGGGGAACTGCCCTTCCACGGAGGTGGAAGGGATAGTAGCCAACCCGGGAAGAACCAGCAGCAAACCCGGGGAGGGCCGAGCAGACGAAAGAACAGCGCAGGGTCCTGTGTCGTTCCTCCACGAAGAGGGGGAGCGACATAATGGTGCCGTGACTCGGATATGAAGCCTAGGCAGGGTTTAGTGTCGTTCCTCCACGAAGAGGGGGAGCGACAATCAACAATGAAAAGCCCAGCACCAGATGGCTTCACTGCTAAATTCGACCAGACATTTAAAGAACTAATCCCAATTCTTCTCAAGCTATACAAAACAACTGAAAGGGAGAGAATCCTCCTAAACTCCTTCTATGAAGGCAGCATCACCCTAATTCCTAAACCAGAAAAACACAACAGAGAAAGAGAACTTTAGACCAATAACCTGATTTACATAGATGCAAAATCCTCAACAAATACTACCTAATCAAACCAGCAACATATCAGAAAGATCATTCATTCAGAGAAAGCAGGATTTATGCCTGGTATGCAGGGTGCTTCAACTTTGGTTCAGCTCAACTCTGGCCATTGCAGCCATTTGGGGAGTGAACCAGCAGATGGAAGAAGTCTCTCTCTCTCTCTCCCTCCCTCCCTCCCTCTCTTTGTAACTCTGTCTCTCAAATAATAAAATAAAAATCTTTCTTTAAAGAAAGAAGAGAAGAAATTTCGATGGCCAGCAGACACATGAAAAAATGTTTAGGATCACCACCAGCCATCAGGAAAGTACAAATCAAAGCCACAATGAGGTTTCACCTCAGCCCTCTTAGAATGGCTCTCATATAAATCAAAAAACAGTAAATGCTAGTGAGGATGTGGAAAAAACAAGTATACCTCCACATTATAACAGAAAGTCCTGCCCACTTGTTAAAGTATGCTGGATTTTGAGATCTTAGTCTTTCTGTAACCAAAGCAAAGACAATCAAGTGAGAAGATCTGCTACTCAGGGGTGTTGTTCAAGCATGAGGATTCACTACGCAGTAGCATCACAGTGTCAGCAAGAGGCACACCGCCTTGTTATGTGAGTGACATGGCTTGCCTAATTAAGAGCTCTCTTGTCACAATACCCAGAATTATGGCACAGTTCACCAGGGCCTGACCCAAGGCATCTACTTGTGTGCACCATGCTGACTCCATCACTTGGAGCAGTTAGTACTCACATGGCTCCCATGCTCTGTGCGTCCTCCTTTTGTAGCCCTGGCTTTCCTGGATGACGTCCCCAGCGCTGTGCTGGCTTCATCACACAGGGGAATAGCAGTAGCCCTGGATGAGGAAAAGAGGTGAAGAGAACTGTACAGATGGCTCCGAGGGACAGCCCCTCTGTCTTGAAGAAATTGCAGGGTCTGGCTCATGAGCAGCTCTTGGGACCTGGGAACTCTCACCATCTTCTCTAGCATTCCCTTGGGATGATGTCTTAGGCACTGGATTCTCCTGCTGAGTCCTGGCAGATAATTCTCACCTCCTTTGAAACCCATGGCGAGGGCCTCTTGGAGAGAACAGCAGGTATCCTGGGATGGAGTCTGAAAGGACAATGTCAGACAGGGGCTGTGGCAAAGAGTTCACAAGGCATTTTTCCCAATCAGCTGCTCCACATCTACCTTGACATACCCTCAGTGATTGAATCAGGACCTGGCTGTCAAAGATACCCCGACAATCCTTACCCCTTGGACACTTTCACAACATGTTTCTTTCCCTTAGAGCCCCTACTTGATTGCAGTGCTCTCCATTGCTGTACAAAGGTTCAGTTCCTGTTCTCAAGCAGGTGATTTTAAATAGCTTTGCTCCTGGACATCTGTGTTGGGAAGTTCCCTGCAGGCACAGAATTATGTGTGAGTTCCTGAGACAGTCCACTGTAAAGAGGCACTGTGAGGCTGGTAAGAAGGCTTATAGATGGATAGGGTTTTGGGAAATCCAGTATCCAGGAAGGCACAGCATCTTGTAACATGGACAGTGTGAGGTCTGATATACCTGGGCTTAGAAAGGGTGGATGTAACCTATCCAGGGCAAAACTTCAGACCTGGCCTGACTATGAGGATCTAACTTTGGAGTGTCAGAGTCAAGCTTAAAGAAAAATAATCACCTGATCGGAGATTTTCCTGAAAAGCATCATTAATTATCAGTTCCATCACTGTTACAGATTTTCTTAAATATCTTTCTGTCACACTGGGCTACCATTCCAGAAAAGATCCTTAACTAACACAGATTTAATCATGAAAGAAAATGAATCTTAGACTTTTAACTACCAAGAAAGCTCTAGCGCTCCCTGATATCCTTGAGATTAAGTACACTGTCCAACCTAAAGTGCCCATACATTTGCTACTAGACATGTGGTTCTGAAGCAAATTCAAACTTGTAGTGAGAGAAAGTCCTAGAAACACAGGTAGAGTGTGATATCGAGGAAGGAAGGGGATGTCCCCATGGAAGTACAGACCAGTTGCCCTCAGTATGTAGGTCTAATATACAGTTAACTATAGAATTTTGGTTTTATTTTTGCATCCCCAAACACACATCAGAAAATGTTGTCCCAAATATACTGCATCTTTCGCAGATTCTGGAACAAGAATTCTGGATTCTAAACTAGCCTTTGCCTTTTACTAGCTGTGCGATCTCAATCTCTTACTCTCTCTGAGCCTATTATTTCTCAGCCAACAACACTCTACATAAATCAGTTACCATATGTAAAGCAATGGAAGCAGTATCTGGTTGAGAACAAGTGTTATATCAATGATGAGCTACTATAAATAGGAATCACAGTATTTCAGAAAGTGGGGTTCAAACAATCAGTCAGAAAAAATTCTGAGAGACAATGACACTGAAATGAAAGGCGAAATAGCAAGAGTTAGGCAGGGATAGAGGGTGGGGCAGCAGAAGGGGGTGTCCCAGGAAGGAACAATAATGTTCAGTCTGTGGAAGGGAGGGGACAGGACCAGGGCATAATCATGTTTCTATCTGTGAGCCATTGCCCACGTTCTGTGTTCTCTATGTTAAACAAATATAAAGGAGAACCTTAGCATCCTTAGCACAAAGGCAAGATATAATGAAGACTGCATAAATGTACCCACAAGTCAATGGCAGTATTCAGTCTCCCTTGTGGAGCTGGATCCAGTCCCTGCTCCTCCAGAGCAGAAAAACGAGAGTCAACCATGGGGAGCTTTCTAGGCTACACTGGACATAAAGGAATCCACTTTTTGGGTCTGTGGAGATGAAGTGTGCTAGTCTGAGAGAGCCCTGGCTGAGAGGCTATAGTCAGGCATCACATCCACAGGTGACCACCTCCAAGGGCACTTCTTGGAGGAAAATATATATGGCTCTCCCACTTGTCTCTTGCTCCTGGCACACTTATTTCAGTGAAATGAATGAAAAATGTTTTCCCAAGGACTGATGGCAGATGCTTTACACATTAAAAAAAAAAAACCAGTGATCTGGGGCTGGCGCCATGGCTCACTTGGTTAATCTCTGCCTGTGACACTGGCACCCATATGGGCACCGGGTTCTAGTCCTGGTTGCTCCTTTCTAGTCCAGCTCTCTGCTGTGGCCCAGGAGGGCAGTGGAGGATGGCCCAAGTGCTTGGGCCCCTGCACCCACACGGGAGACCAGGAGGAAGCACCAGGCTCCTGGCTTTGGATCGGCACAGTGCCAGCTGTAGCGGCCATTTGTGGAGTGAACCAATGGAAGGAAGACCTTTCTGTCTCTCTCACTGTTTATAACTCTACCTGTCAAATAAATTAAAAAATAAAATAAAATAAAGAAAATCAGTGATATGATTATTGGCTCTGTAGCAGAAGTGAACATTTTGCTTCTGTATAACTTGGTGTGTTCTTCACAGCTATGTTGTAGCATGCTGGAGCTTGAGCAGATCTGCCCTGGCCAGCTCTAGGTGGGAACTTTAGAGGGTTATTCCAACTCCCTCTCTTTCTAG